AAATAGAGAACTAGAGGCTTAAAGAGAGCTAAGGGTTTTAAGGAGAGTTATTGTTCTTAATCGGTCTGTGATTAATGAACAAGACTTAGTGAGAATAGAAAATAGTGTTAAAGGAGAAACCTTGTAAACATATTTTCTATTAATCGAAAGAGTTTTTGAGAAATTCTGAGTTACATCGTGAACTAATTCAAAACTTAGTAGCTCTTGCATTTACATATATATATATGTATCTCACATAAAATGATATGAGTAATTAAGTAGCTTTTTCTTGATAACAAATGATAAGTAACGTTAAGAGTCAAAAAGAAAAAATGAGTACCGTTAAATTAAATCATGGTGGAACACAGAAAATTTTCTTACTATAATTAGCAATATCGTTTTACAAATTCTTATTTTTTATAGTCTAATAGTGCACACATATTTTCAAGTTTGGATTCGAATTATAACATAATACAAATGTCAATAAACACGACCCTCTATGGTTTGCAAACTAAGGTGGTTTTACAAAGTTTTATCATAATATTAAAAATACAGTTACTAATGTAAACAAAAGTCTTTGTATATTACTATTTTATGATTAACGTAACCCTACTATGTGTATTTTAAAAAAAAATAGAGATTGGACATGTGTGTTACGTACTGTAATTGGTCGCGATTCGAAACCGAATCTTGAGAAGGAGATATAACAATTATATATTAGGAGATAGTGGATCATTATGATAGTTTCCGGAAACGAATAAAAGAGAAGTATTCGAGTGTATCCATAAATCATAGTTTACAATATATTTAACCATGTATATATGTATATACCAGATCACATGTGTATTCGTAGAGGCATCGCACATGCCTCACACGTTGCTACAATGTGCAAGGGTGAGAAGATGAATCTCACTTAGAATTTGGATAATGCTAATATATATCATGATATGCAAAATAAAAATATCGACGTGTTTCTTCTTTGATTGGCTAAAACGAAAAATCAGCCCTATTCTTGAGGTAGCAAGCCCAAATCGCGACATGATACATTTGAATCGTTTGATATATTTGAAAATATAAAAATTGCTGGTGTCCCCCCATCTATCAATATGGTACACCTTCAGCTATAAATGATTGAGATTCTCTAACCAAGACTGTAAATTCATATATATCCGAATAGTTTGGATTCTAAGTTTCTAACTATGAGAATAATAATAGTAAAAATGATAAGGTGATGATATAGGCGATGTGACTATTATTATTATTTTATCATTACTTGAGCTTGAATGACGCTAATAATTGTAAGATCCCTGCCGTGTATGCATGTATAAGCAAGTTTTGTTATCAAATAAACAGAGAAGGAAGAAGATTCTTATAATTTGTGAAAGAAGAAGATAAAAACAGATGACGTATAAACAGTTTGTTAGGTTAAATAGGTATCTCAATTAATATACTCGCATCCTCTCTAGTCTAATATTCAAATGTAAAATGCCAAAACAAACGCAAAAGTTGTGTTAAATTTACAAAAAAAAAAACACAATTAGTTAAAACTAGCCTAAAATGTTAACCAAAAGTCATTTTTAAAGTAAAGACTTTTTATACACCTCATAGTCCTCACAAAGAGCCATCAATAATTGTAATTTAATTAATTTAGGCTGGTCATAAAATACTTATATAGTTGGTCAATTAATTAATTAGTAAGTGGGATTATGTAAGAGAATATCCCATTAGTTAAAAAAAAGAAGTAGAGAATATCACGTTTATAATAAGTTTGGACATAATTAAAAAAACGACTCGTTCATGAGGTCACGATCCTAGTCTATCTGGCAAACCATCATCATCTATCTACGGGCCAACGGCTAAAAAGAAATAGACGCTACCACTCATGCACAATCGTGCTATACCATGTCATCTTCCGATCTTCGGGCATATATAAGGATCCGAACCTTCTTATATATAGCCTGGTTCTCAAACTCCAAGTTACATTATAACTAGCTTGGTTAAATTGTTTTATTTTTCCTATTGAGTTCATATATAATTGTATCTTTTGTGAGTTATGTTCTTGGCTTATTGCAATAAAACACTGTTAATATTTTTTCATCAATATAAAAGTACCCAATATAACCAAAATAACAAAATCATAATTGATACGGCAATTCGACTTTTAAACGAATCTAAATAAGAGTTAATCCACACACGATTAAAATAATAGTTTGAAAAAGACCAAATGGTGATGAAACAATGTCGCAAGGTTGCGTAGTCTATTTTGTTCTCACTGTTCTAATGTATATTAGAATTTCTCGTTATTTGACTGACTGTCATTGAACACTTCTTGTTACAATAGGTTTGATTTTTTTTTTTTTAAAGAAGAAGAAGAAGATAAATGAGAATATTATCTAATCAGCAGTCATTAAACTATTTTAGTAATAACTTTAGATCCTGCATATGATTTCATTTTAAGAGATGTTATTAAAAGAAAAGTGAAAAAGGAAGTAAAAGCCTAAAATTTGTGATTTTTTTTGGAAGGCCTGGATAACATTCACAACAACCATTCATGATTTAATCATCCAACTAGATTATAGCTAGACCTTGAGTTTTGATAGAAGTAAATTGTACTCCCTCTGTTTTCCAAAGATTGATTTTCTGAATTTTGCACACAGATTAAAACAGAATGATTGTTTCATTTTAGTACGTATTTATCTACTCTTTTTTGTTTCTCAACACTACCAACATTCTTTTTTTTCTCTTTCTAATTCAATGAAAAGTTTTGCATCCAAAAAAAAAAAAACTTTGGCACTAGTATAAATTATTTTTTCCATGCGTATCATTAATTTACCTTTTTCGTAAAAAGAGAAAGCAATTAAATGTATTCTAAAAAATCAATTTTTTGGAAACAAAATAAAAACTCAGAAAATCAATCTACTACACTGAATAATTTTATTTATATTTACCTCATCAGAATATTATTTTCTTCTAGTCGGTATATACTTCCACTGAATAATTTACTACACTCGATTTGGACTCTGCAACATAAGTCTTGCAACGAGATGGTACGTTCTGCAAAACATCACGTTTCCATGTATATCGTGTGACTAGACAATGAGTCGAAATCTACTTTGTTCATTTAACATAAACTTACACGGAAACTCTATATTTTGAATTTTCATTACAATATTATATTTTCTAATTATATAATTCCAATCTCGGGTAATTGACAGCCAGATAATGACATTGACATTTTCTCATGGTAAACTTTTATCATTTTCACGGTGGACCAAAATAATTAAATACCAAAGTGTTATATATGGTTAAAACATTTTTGCAGCTAACAAATACTCTGGAACCTATCTGCAATTGAACATTCATGACACAAAACGTTAAGTGAAATATTTTTCTTGCACGGTTGATATTAAAAATGGCTTTGGTTCATATAACACAATTCTTGTTCTTTTATTCAATATATATTAATAATGTGATCATATCTTTTAGAGAAATTATTAAAAATGCCCCATTTTCAATATCCCTTTTAAAAAATGCCCCATTTGAGTGTCCATTTTTAAGTTTGCCCTCTTTTAATTTTTAATGACAATTTTACCTTTATTTGAAACAAAATTAGGTCCACAAAATACAAAATATTTTTTGGCGGGAAAAGTGATCCCGCAATTTTCCCGCCAAAACACTTATAAAAACTTGTAAAACCTTTAAAATACCTTGTAAATTTTTTTCCGTAAAAATTTTTCCCGCCAAAAAATTTTCCCGCCACAAAATTTTTTTGAGGGAAAAGTGATTCCGCAATTTTTTTGGCGGGAAAAATTTACAAGGTATTTTAAAGGTTTTACAGAGTATTTACAAGTGTTTTATAAGGTTTTACAATGTATTTTAAAAGGTTTTACAAGGTACTTATAAGGTTTTATAAGGTATTTATAATTTGTAAAACCTTATAACTTGTAAAACCTTATAATATAGCTTGTAAAATCTTATAATATCTTATAAATACCTTATAAATACGTTGTAAAACCTTTTAAAATACATTGTAAAACATTATAAATATCTTGTAAAAAACCTTTAAAATACCTTGTAAATTTTTCCCGCCAAAAATTTAACGCCAAAAAAATTGCGGAATCACTTTTCCCGCAAAAAAAAATTTTTGGCGGGAAAAATTTTACGGGAAAATTTTACAAGGTATTTTGAAGGCTTTACAAGTTTTTACAAAATCAAATTTGTAATTTTGATGTTTGCACATTCTCATGTTTTTCTTATATATTTGTGATATCTTTTATTAAAAGAAGGGTAATTTAGTCATATTATATATAAAAAGGGGTATTTTTAAAAATGGACAGCCAAAAGGGGCATTTTTGAAAAGGGGTATTGAAAAAGGGGTATTTTTGTGAGTCTCCCTATCTTTTATTCAATTTATTTCCAAAACACGTCTAAAATCGTTAAATCCTTTGGGTTTTGAAATTATTTTGACAGTAAAAAAAATCATATCTCATATCACTTCCTAAAATTTGGCTCTCTACCCACACAACTGTGGTCCAGTGGTAGTTGAGAATTGTGGAAAGATTGGAATGAAGTAACCCAGGTTCGATCCACGCTGGAAACAAATAACACATTTGTGTGGGAAGTCTGGGCTTGGATCAAAATGCCCAAGCAGTTTACCTGGTAGTCCAGTAACACGCGATCTGGCTACCCCTAACATTAGTCGGAACGCATTTCAAACTCGAGTGTGGTGGCCTTTTGGGGAGTAGTCCACTTTGAAGCATTTCAGTGCGTTTCTATCGGGGCTGACCGGATTAGCCGATAGGGTTTAAAAAAAAAAAAAAAAAATTTGGCTCTCTTTTGTTTTTGGTCTGACCTAAAAGGTTTGGCTATCTAAAATCTACCTAAAAACAAACTGATCAATACGATACTGGGCTTCAAATAAAAACAAACCCCTTCAATATTGGGCCGTCACATTAACTACAATGACCGACCTCACAAAATCTAAGCCCAAGGCTACTTTCGTCATTTTAAACTCTCCGTACACTAAAAACCCTAATCTCTATCCCTATATAAACCTTTCCACACACCGACCATTCCTCTCACAAGTCTGCAGCCGATTCATTCCCTAGGGTTCATTAATAGGTTAGTGTTCTTCAATTGCTTTAGTATGCTTGTTCTTAGATTTAGTGTTCATCGAAATTAGGTTATTAGAATGGCTTCATCAGATAGTCGATGTGGATTTGTCCGTTCCCATATGATTCGTTCCCTTGAAGCAATATAAATCGTGTTGCTCTCGTTTCTTTAAAATCACTCTCTAATCATTAAAGTAATCACACTGTTAATTCTAGTTTGATTACCGATTAGTGAGCATTACTTGAGCAGCTACATAATCTCTTATAATTAGGGTTTGTGTTTTGTCTTGAATCTTGTTTTGTTGTTGTGGAAGAACAGTGATGAGTCAGTTTACAGACCTGTAATGATTGCGGTAATGATCGCATTTCTTTGAACATCTAAGGGACTGAGTTCTTTTGTTGTTGTTTTTGTCTTGGTGGCTTTTACATGATATAAAGATTGTGGCTTTTACATGATATAATGATTCATGCTTTGAATATGTTTATATGTGAAGCTTGTTGTGAAGTGTAATTGCCTACATTGAATTTAGTTTCCCCCGCGTTCTAGTTATTACTGTTTCGTTTGCGATTGAGTTTGAATAGCTGTATTGTGCCGTTGTTACAGAGATGGCAAAGTCAAAGAATCACACGGCGCACAATCAGTCTGCCAAGGCGCATAAGAACGGAATCAAGAAGCCAAGGAGGCACCGTCACACCCCAACCAGAGGAGTAAGTCTCTTTTTACAGTTCAAACCTAAATGATTTCAGATTCAGGTTATAGTTTTGGAGTTTGATTTTTGAATTTTTGTGAAATGATGTTTCAGATGGATCCTAAGTTCCTGAGGAACCAGAGGTACGCAAGGAAGCACAACATCAACGGTGGCGAGAATGCTAGCGCTGATGAGTAGATCTTTTGATCGTCTGAAAGACATTTTAAGGTTTTTTATGAATTTCACTTTCTTAGACAAAAGAACCAATGTACTACTTTCAGGGATTGTGTCTATTTCAGATTCTCTTATTTTGCAAATTACTTAATTTGATGCAATTCTTTCACTATATGTTTACGTAGACCTAGAATCTGAAAGCTGAACTGGATTTACATATTTAGGTTTGTGTAGCCTTACTTGAATCAATCTGGTATTATTCATCAATGCCTGTTACTTTTCTAGGTTCTGTTTTCATGAAAACTCTAAATTGCTTTCTTTAGGTTCTGATTCCATGAAAATTTGTGTACTGCTTCTATTCTATCACTTTATTGTAGACTTTTATTTTCGTCATTCACACACTTCAAAATAGAAACAAAAGTTGTGGAATGTGGCCTGTACTGACATAATTCCACATTCAGTAATATATTTGGTAGTTGAATCATATATATATATATTTTTTTTGCAGAGTTGTGTACTGATCTTTTGGTTTCTTACAATTTTTTTTTATATTTTACCTCATCAGAATGTTCTTTCTTCCAATACGAGTTGGTACGTTCTGGAAAACATCATGTTTCCATGTATATCGTGACTAGACAATGAGTCGAAATCTACTTTGTTCATTTAACATAAACTTACACGGAAACTCTATATTTTGAATTTTCATTACAATATAATATTTTCTAATTATGTAAATAACAATCGTCTATCGATGAATACATATATATAAATAAAAAAAACAGTTATCGAATACAATAACATAAGACCATGTAAATATATCATACATGTGTAATCGGATCAACTAACAACATTGTTTATTTCCAAAACACGTCTAAAATCCTTAATTATTTTTTAAATTTTGAGCTAACCACAAAATTATTTTGAATTTTTTTTTATTTTTTTAAATCATAACGCATATCACTTCCTAAAATGTGGCTCTCTTTTGTTTTTGGTCTGACCTATAGGTTTGGCAATCTAAATCTACCTAAAAAAAAAACTTACTCCCTCCGTTTCGTTTTAGTTGTCGTTTAAAGTTTTTTCACACAAATTAAGAAAGTATTAAATTTTCTGTTTTACTATTTATTAATATATTTTATAAAAGATTTCATTGGCCTAAACATTAAAACTGTAGGGATAAAACTGGAATTTTCACCAAATATTTGCATTGAAAATCTAAACGATAACTATTATGAAACAAAATTTAAATCCTAAAACGACAACTAAACCGAAACGGAGGGAGTATTCAATACGATACTGGGCTTCAAATAAAAACAAACCCCTTCAATATTGGGCCGTCACATCAACCACAATGACCGACCTTACGAAATCTAAGCCCAAGGCTACTTTCGTCATTTAACTCTCCTACACTCAAAAAACCCTAATCTCTCTACCGTCAATAAACCTCCCTATATAAACCCTTCCACACACCAACCATTCCTCTCACAATTCTTCAGCCGATTCATTATCTCTAGGGTTTATAGCTTAGTCTTCGAATCCATATATCTCTGTTGTTGTGTTCTTCAATTGCTTTAGTATGCTTGTTCTTAGATTTAGTGTTCATCGAATTTAGGGTTATTAGAATGGCTTCATCAGATAGTCGATGTGGATTTGTCCGTTCCCATATGATTCGTTCCCTTGAAGCAATAAGAATCGTGTTGCTCTCGTTCCTTTAAAATCACTCTCTAATCATTCAAGTAGTCATACTGTTAATTCTAGTTTGATTACTGATTAGCGAGCATTACTTGAGCAGCTACATAATCTCTTATAATTAGGGTTTGTGTTTTGTCTTGAATCTTGTTTTGTTGTTGTGGAAGAACAGTGATGAGTCAGTTTACAGACCTGTAATGATTGCGGTAATGATCGCATTATTATGAACATCTAAGGGACTGAGTTCTTCTTCTTTATTGATTTTTTGTGTCTTGGTGGCTTTTACATGATATAAAGATTCATGCTTTGAATATATGTTTATATGTGAAGCTTGTTGTGAAGTGTAATTGCCTACATTGAATTTAGTTTCCCTCGCTATCCTGTTCTTCAATTTTCAATGATGTTACTTAGGACGTCGGGGAACAATATGTTATTTGTTTTTGTTTTTGCGATGGGATTTCAAATGAGGAAAACTTTGCCAAGTCGTTGAATGCTCAGAGAAATCTGAGTTTTATGATTCCACTTGTATAGGAAGATCTGATGATTTCCTCCTCAAAACGTTGTTTTTTGTTTTTTTTTTATTTGTCTTGGTTATGTTTTTGTTTGGAAGCCTGTGATGATTAGATTTAATGGTTGCTGAAAACTCAATGTTGAAAAGCATCTAACTTGACTAGGACGGTCTGAGGCTTCTTTCAAGTTTGTGTTTTCTTTTGTATTGGGTTTTGAAGAGTTTTGAACATTTTAATGTTTGTGATGTTGTGGATGATGAGAAGCAAAAATCAAAATACAGTTATCCCTGGCTTAGGGTTTAAAACCCGTTGCTGAGTCTTTTGTAATCTGACACACATCACAACATTTTTCATATGTGACGACTGACTAAGGTGAAGATTGATTGTGTTAATGCAAGGCGGAGATTATGATGACACTTTCGGGTTGTTTGGTTGGCATGATGCAATTGTTCCAATTCGAGTTTTGAATCATCAAGAACTGAGTTTAATACTATTTCATCAAGTCATCCATATTACCTAAAAATGTCCTCTACTTTTCAAAAAAGATTGGGAGAAGGTTAAATGTGAATCAATGCATGAGATGACCTCACATGTGCATAAAATTAAAAGCATTCATTTAGATTAACTTTCACATCACTCGATAGAGAAATAAGCTATTTCTGCAGGGTACAACTTCTTAATGACTGCCAACAATCCTTGTCTTAATGACGGCCAACAATCTAGAAATGACTCCCTTTCTAGCTTTTAATATCTATCTATTAATTAAATAGGCTTCTCTTGTTAAGTAAAAACGAAATAAAAAACAAGTAGAGAGGTAAGTTGGTTTTGCAATCCAACAACATGGATAAGCTTCACAATATTCTTAATCTTCTTCTACCTCCTCTTACCATCAGTTTTCTTGTCTTCTTTTACCCATTTTATCTTTTGATCAAACTTGTGAGTTGTCTTTACAAGAACATTCGCTTTGAAAACGTTGCCGGAAAAGTAGTTCTAATCACCGGAGCTTCCTCCGGCATTGGAGAGGTTAGCTAGTCCTAGTTTTGGATCTTATGGGTGTTTTTTTCTTTTTCTTTATCATGTTTAATTGTTTTTTTGTTGGTCTTATCTTGAATTTTTAGCAACAAATATAACAATGGTTAAGTTTAACTCCTAAATTTTACAATTTAGCTGAATACCAAAATAATTTGTTTAACTCCTAAATTTTACAATTTAGTGATGCGTAAGTTTATTGTTTAATTTAATTATAATTAGAAAACGTGCAAGATGATACATACTTATGAATGATATGTAATTGGTACATAATCACGTTTGCAAAACGTGATAACTTGATTAAGCCGCATACCATTCAAATATTTGACGTTCTATCATTATTCATACATCTGTATATTTAACTTTTATATGTTCTTGTTTTGTTAATTGCAACGGAAAAAAATAGCATGTGGCATACGAGTACGCAAAGAAAGGAGCAATTTTAGCTCTTGTTGCTCGAAGAAAGGATCGTCTAGAGATTGTAGCAGAAACATAACGTCAATTATGATCTGGCGATGTCATCATCGTACCTGGTGACGTTGCTAATGTTGAGGACTGCAAGAAGTTCATCGACGAGACGATTCATCATTTGGAAACATTACTTGTATAAAAGGATAAGTTATCTAAATTGATGTTATGATTATGAAATTCTAAGTATGGTAGTTTTGTAAATTTTTCTCAAACTTTATTAGATACTTCATCTCATTTGTATATTAAGGATATTAACTTTTGGGGCTCAACGTACATCACTTATTTTGCTATTCCTCATCTTCGAAAAAGCAAAGGAAAAATTGTTGTGATTACTTCTGCTACGGCAATTATACCTTTGCCATCGGCAAGCGTCTATTCAGTAAGATAAACAAAATCTTTTACATACTTCTCATATACATATAAATTTTCTATGATAATGATACTACTTGGTATGATGTAGCCATGTAGGCAAGCAAAGCAGCTTTATTAAAATTCTTTGAAACATTAAGAGTTGAGATCAGTCCATGTATCAAAATAACAATTGCTATTCCCGAATTTATATCTACAGATATGACCACTCAGTTTAAAGAAATGGTCAGTAGTAACATTTGTACATAACTTTGTATCTTATATATATGACATTAACTAATTTATGTGTGAATTTCTTAATGTGCTTTATTGAAAAATAGTATGGTTCAGATTTCATCCTTTCAGAATCAGTGAGTAAATGCGCAAAAGCCATCTTCAGAGGTATTGGTAGAGGAGAGACATACATAGTAGAGCCATCTTGGATAAAATGGATCTTTTTGATACAAAATGTTTGTCCAGAAATCGTTGACTACGTACTCAACTATATATTTGTTCGTTATGGCAAACCTTATTTCAAGCGTGATTGATCATATCGATCTATCCAAGATCTCTGGTTTTCAACTGTGGTTGTGTTGTCATTATAGCCATGAAACTTATACTGTGTTAATGTGTTATATTGCACTAAGTCGTAGTCTTTTACTTTCTTTTTTTCCCTTTCTTCATATTTGTTTCAATTTGTTTTAGAAACAAACATTTCGTATATCTCTTTATTATTTAATAAAGGGGATTCAGATGGATATAATTGTCATGGAATTTTTGTGTGTCCATATATATTAAGCTTTTTACACATACATATATATATAGCACTAACCGCGAAGTTTGTAACACCATCTAATCTAGAAGACTCGAAAATCATTAGCAAAAGCTTATGCTTCTTTGGATCTGTTTGTTAAACATCAAATCTTGTGTAACTCTATTGTAGCCTTGTTTTATTTTTTTCCCTTTTTGCCAAAGTCACTCTCTGGTAAATAATGTTCTTTCATATTTTTAGTAATATTTACATTCCAAGCAACAAATATATATATATATATATATATATATAGCAAATAATATGTTTTTAGTAATATTTACATTCCTAGCAACATATATATATATATATATATATATATATATATATATATATATAGCAACTAATATATTTTTTTAGTAGCAATTAACCTCTTTTCCTAATATAACGAGATACAGAAGAATAAGAAAATAGAAGAGAGATCCACTTGCCACCATTTCCTCCCCTTCTAGCTTTCGGTGTCTTTTAAAATAGACTTGACTCGTAAAGTATAAGTTTGAACATTTTAACATATATAAAAAAAACAAGTAGTGGTGTTGGTTCTGCAAAAGAACAACATGGATATGCTTACCACCATTCTCAATCTTCTTCTACCTCCTCTTACCATCAGTTTCCTTGTCTTCTTTTACCCATTTTATGTTTTGATCAAACTTGTGCTTTGTCTTCATAAGTACCTTCACTTCGAAAACGTAGCCAGAAATGTAGTTCTAATCACCGGAGCTTCCTCCGGCATCGGAGAGGTTAGTTGGCTTTGAATGTTATGCCCTTTTGTTATCAACTTATCATGTTCAATCGTTTTCTTTTGTTTTTTTCTTACGTTTTTTTTTGGACGAATACCAAGTAATTAACGATTTGTTGATTTAGTCTATTATGATCGATATAGAGCTATTTCTTATAATTACTGATTCAAATATATATGTGTGTGTATGTATATAACATAGATCCGACATTGGTGATTGTGTTTATGGTTTTGTTTTCGAGGTCCTGTATTGTCGTGGAATCTCTTGCAATTATGAGTGCTAGGAAATAGATATTCACTCCGTTTCGTCTTAGTTATCGTTTAAGGTTTTTTCACACAAATTAAGAAAGCATTAAATTTTCTGTTTACTCTCTATTACTATATTTTATAAAAAATTTTATTGGTCAAAACATTAAAACTGTAGGGATAAAACTGGAATTTTCACCAAACATTTGCATTGAAAACCTAAAACGACAACTATTATATGAAACAAAATTTAAATCCTAAAACGACAACTAAACTCAAACGGAGGGAGTAATTTATTTGATAGTATCTAAATACGACTAGAAATAACTAAATGTATAGATCCACATCAATTGATATGATATTTGGTTAGATTGTTTATGTTCTTGTTTTGTTGGATTGGAAAAAAAGCATGTGGCATACGAGTACGCAAAGAAAGGAGCATATTTGGCTCTTGTTGCTCGAAGAAGGGATCGTCTAGAGATTGTAGCTGAAACTTCACGTCAATTAGGATCTGGTAATGTCATCACCATACCTGGTGATGTTTCTAATGTTGAGGACTGCAAGAAGTTCATCGATGAGACGATTCGTCATTTCGGAAAACGTAAGTACTCTAGCTAGTTCTACTTTGTCAAATACAAAACCCGAACTAAGCTAAAATTTAAGTAGTAATGAAGATCATGATAGGCATAACATCTAACTATAATATATATGCCACAAAAAAGTCAAATTCATTTAGATTATTATTCTAATCAAGTTATTATATTTGAACAGTAGACCACCTGATCAACAATGCTGGTATATTTCAAACTGTTCTTTTCGAAGATTTCACTCAAATTCAAGACGCAAATCCTATAATGGTAAGTTTCCTCCAATTTATATCAATGGTAATCCAGAAATTATGTATGACTTTAATTGCTTTAGAATCAAATCAACAATTTCAAACTCTATATTGATTACTTCATCTAATTTGTGTATATAAGGACATCAACTTTTGGGGCACAACATACATCACTTATTTCGCAATTCCTCATCTTCGAAAGAGTAAAGGAAAAATCGTCGCGATTACATCTGGTTCAGCAAATATACCTTTGCCATTGGCAAGCATATATGCAGTAAGATTTTTCTTTTGATAGAACAAACAAAATTCTATATACTATTTATTATATACATAATATTGATGTTACTTGGTTATTTTTGTAGGCAAGCAAAGCAGCCTTATTAAGATTCTTTGAGACATTAAGAATAGAGCTAAGTCCGGATATCAAAATAACAATTGTTCTCCCAGGAGTTGTATCAACAGATATGACCACACCTCACTGTATGGAAAAGGTAAGTAACAACTCTTGTACATGATTCTAAACAATATACATGTCACACTATACTAATTATATGTCTTTTATTTGCTTTATCAAAAATATAGTATGGTTCAGATTTTATTCTATCGGAATCAGTGAGTAAATGCGCAAAAGCAATCTTCAAAGGTATTGGCAGAGGAGATGCATATATAGAAGAACCATCTTGGATGAAATGGTTGTTTATAATGAAAAATGTATGTCCTGAAATCGTTGATTACGGTCTCAACTTTTTATTTGTTAGTTATCTCAAACCTTATTTCAAGCGTGATTGATCATAATAATCTATCGAAAATCTGTACTCTTTAAATAAGGATTGTGTTCCTATGATGGGATATTATTCAATAAAAGGTATAAAGGTTGATTCGTTTGGTCTTTTGCATACGGATTTTGTGTCGTCATTCACCAAGTTTTTTAACCGCAAATGTTTGACACCTTTAGATAAGAAAAGAAGTAACTTGATCATAGAAAATCTCATTAGCTTAAACAAACGGCACTTTTAGTCTTTACGTCAGTTGGCTTCATATAGATGAAAAGGCAATAAAGGAGGAAACTCCTAAACCAAGAACAAAAGCTACTCCCTCCGTTTCATAAAGAGTGTCATTTTAAGGTTTTATTTTTGTTTCACAAAGAGTGTCGTTTTAGGTTTTCAATGCAAAATTTAATGATTTTTTATGTTTTATGACTATTAGTATTCTGCAGATTGTTTTACTATTGGGCAGATTATGTTTAGGTATATAGTTAATGATGTTTTTGTTTAGAAAAAACAAAAAATTTAATGTTTTCTTAATCTGTGTGCAAAATTCTAAAATGACACTCTTTTTGAAACAGAGGGAGTATTGTATATGTAACATGTTATTCTACTATGGTGTAGTATGGTGAAAATTATCCTTCTACTTCTACAGGACATGAAAATTATCTCAGGATCGAGTATAATTGGTCACTCCTCGAAGTTCATGGCCATGCTTGGCCCGTGTTCAAGGTTAGAAACCATATGCACATAGATCTTTCAATGGTTTTTGATCAGCAATTCAAGGGTGCTAAAGAAATGGTTCATGGAAAGGGAGACAATTGGCCACTAGTGTCCTTGCTTAAACCAGTACATGTTGTGATCTTGGAAGTCTCAAAATCTATTTACACAATACATTGTCAACAATCCTTCAACCCAAAACAATCTTGGTTCTATTTCCATTTACCGCATTGAAGTTAATCTTTAGTGTGACAAATTGAAATTATGTATGAAATCAAGATCTTGAAATGGTTCATTAAGGTCTCTTGATAGATGAAAAAAAGATGATAGACAAAACCACCTCAGAACTATTAAAACCCAAGAAATAAGGTTGCACTAACCAGAAACAAAAATGTAGGACCAGAAACGATAAAATACATTCTTTCTTGAAGCGGTTTTGGAACAAGTGTTGTTTGTCTAGGAGTCAGCAATAGTGACCTCAACCTCAACACCAGGTTCAATGGTGATAGATGTGATTTGCTTAACCACATCAGGGGAGCTGAAGAGATCAATCACACGCTTGTGAACCCTGAGTTCAAATCTGTCCCACGTATTGGTACCTGATACAAAAACCACCATGAAACAGTGTCAAGATTTTCAGAATGCCACAAGTAGCTCAATAGCATTTTCCTTGTTACTAAAACCATATATCAAACTAGTTACAAAAGTGTTCTGTTTTTCAGGAAGAGACATTCGATGAAATTCTTGAGTTTAGTAACATTGTAGAATCTAGAAGTAGAGAAGGTGAAATGAGAGTTACCTTCACCACAAGGTGCCTTTCTGGTGGTGATCTTAAGAACCTTAGTGGGCATTCTCACTGGTCCCTTAACTCTAAGTCTCTTGTCCTTAGCTCCACGAACCAAGTCAGTGCACACTAATCAAACAAAAGCATCAGAGATAGAGAGAACTATTCAGAATTCAACACTTCTTTAACTCTCTAAATCCATTCTTATATCTCAAACACAAAACTCAAAGATCCATCAGAAAGACCAATCAATACATTACCACAATCCAAAAACCAATCTTGCCACATTTGAAATCAACATTTTCTAGATTTCTACCTTCAAACAAAACAATCCACTACCCTCAAACTCTCTAGCACTAGAGAACAGCTGATCTATTCGAACACTGAATCAAAAGAGTAAAGAAGCCACAAAGATCAAACCTTTTTCCAAATTCTTGACATTTTTTGAAGAGAGAGTAATCCTGATCTTATGAATCTGCTCGAGGGGTTCTTCTAAACCAGCTTTAGTGGGTTTCATCGGTTCATACGCCATGTTTTGTTAACCTCTTTATTGCTCTGCAAAAAATCATAGATTTAAGAACAGATTCAATCAACACAGAACAAATCTCCCAAACAGCTTCTGTAGAACAAAAGATCGTATTTTTTTCATACATAGTGTCCGATTCATAGAACCCACAAAAATTAAGGATACAAAGATAAAGAAAGATGAATCTTTTACCGTTTTTTAACCGGAGAGGACTTTTGCGGTTGTGATGTGTGCAACTGCGGAGGAAGGAGGTGAGGAAGGAGGTGAAGAAGGTCTTTGTTCTCTAGGGTTTTTATTTAAAGTTTTCATTTTTGTTTTTCTCCAATG